GAAAATATGTTTATTAAAAACATTCAATATTTGATTTTATATTATATTTATGTTATATAATAAATTGCAGTACAGAACTGCGGTACAGAATAAAAAAGTACAGAACTGTGGATCCCATGCATTTTGCAAAACCTACATTTCAGCTCCCACTGAACTTTTGCTTGCCCATCCCTGAACTATAATAAAGGTAATTAAAATACCTTTTCAAAGTGCTTTGCTGGGTTTAGAAAGGTATGATGGACAATTTGGAAACAAACTGAGCACTGTATTCTTAGTTTGTGAAAGAGTTTTATAAGGAATGTTGATGATTTTCCTTTCCATCTTTATATACTCTCCACAAACAAAGAATTTGATGCAGAGCAAAATGCTTTTCACAAACATTGTAGAATTTGGTCAGTTCTTGATCTGCATACAGTATCACTCGTTTCCATTTTTTAAATAATTCCAAATCTTTTGTTGGCTTAAATACATTTACTATTTGTTTCTTTGGATAATAATTGTCTTTGCAATTATGCATACATCATTTAAAAGACATGATTTTGTAAGAATTTCTTAAAAACAATGTTGAACAAGGCAATAGTAAATGGTAAATAATGATACAAAATGGACATTCCAATAAGACAGCACTTGGTGACGAACATCAAATTATGACCACATTCCTGACAAGTTTTTGACAGTCAAACAATAGGAGTGGTATCACCAATATTCTTACACCATAGTTAAAATAGTCAAATATTTAATTAAGGATAATTTTTAGTAAAATGTATAAAAATTCTGACAGATTGATATTGCAGAGAATGGCAGAAATTTACATATAAAAAAAACTAAAATATAAACAGAAACTTTCGATATAATAAAAATATATAAATTTTTTGTTTTTATACAAATGAGACTTTCAGTTACAAAAACAAACTAAAAACTTTATATATGCATATCAAATGGCACTGCTAATCTATTATGTAACACATTATCTGACATCAGAGGATTAAAATATGACTCTGCAATTTTTCATTATTTACATTTATAAATTACATTAAATATTAAATCTGAATCTAAAATAAAAATTATTTGAAAAAATTTTAAAATTACATCAATTTATTTTATAACTTACTATTCATGATTCTGTAGCTAAATGTTTAATGATATTTCATTATTATTTTGTATAATATAAAATCTAAAAAATGTTTTCATTGTAATTCCATTTTAAATTAAAAGCAAGCTTTTTACCTTTCCACAAGCTCTGCAATGATGTCTACGTTTAATTACAGTAAATTTAACATCACAATGCATACAATTCGATGCTTCAGTATCTGGCACCCAAAAAGGTTTTATTTTTCCAAGTTTTTGCTCTTCTTCACTTATAGAAACTACACAAAATTAAACTGAATTGAATATTATTTATAATAATTATAAATATTGAAATAAATTTTAAATAAATTTAACAATCAACAATGAAAACTTTTTACATTGTAAAATTTTAACTTTACTAAATAAAATTTACCTTTAACTTTATTGTTTCATTGGAGAACTTCATATTACAATTTTTTGTCTTTAGTACTTTTGAAGTTTTCCTAACTCATGTTTAGAGGTAAAAGAATGCTTTAAATATTTGAATCTTTAAATCTTTTCAAACTTAATTTTAACTCTAACCATTCAATTTAATTTCTAGCTAATTCCAATTAGTTCAGTAAGTTTAAAAAAAAGTTAAATTTATTAAACAAATTTTTAAAACAACAGAAATAAAAGAATTTAAAGAATTGAATATTTGAAACATTCTTTTATTTCTAAAGATAAGCCAAGAAAACAGTACTAGAGACAAAGTATTTAATATGTTAATTGTAATATGAGGTTCTTCAATAGAGCATGATAAAACTGGATTTGAAAAGTTGTAAATTAGCCTTTAAAAAATTATTATTATATTAAAAAATTTGAATAAAAAATCAATAGAAAAAAATCTATGTTTTCAAACTTAAATAATCAGTTTATAAAAAATATTTAGAAAATATACTATAAACTTTGGAATGTGGTTCTTTAAACCAAATTTCACAACAGTTATTGTGTAAAGAATGATAATTCTATTTCCTAAAAATATTTCCTAATATGTTATAGGTAAAAAAGATTCAATTATTATTATTATTATTTGACTAAAAATCCATCAAACATATTTAATCTAATTATCAAAACAAGTCCATTTATATTCACAAAATTTTCATTTATTTTCAATTCCTGAATCAGAGGAAGTTCTAATTTAATCTCTGAATACTTTATAATTAAACTTGTATTTGTATTCTTCAATATTTTTACTACATAAATTACTGTCAGTCATTTTTAATGAACTATTTGTTTTAATTTATAGTATTCATTGCCAGAGGACTTTTTAAACCAATTTACATGTTTTTTCAGAAGCATAGCCTCAAATAAATGATTGTCTCTGGAAGTGAATTTTTATGTACAGGTATCCCCATGGGTGCGTTTACTTCCGAGCTAATTTTACTATCAGCACGCTCAACCTGTATACTTTCGTCCAGAGAAACTAGCTAGGTCTTTTTCCTTGTTAACAATAAAAAATACTTTTTATAAACAAAAAAATACTTTTTTCAAACAACACGTGGGGATATTGTTGAGAGATAATAATAATAATGGTAACACACCCCACCGTCAAAAGTCTGTAGCATAATCACTAATCACACATAATGGTATCCCCACTACCATTGACCGACTGCGCAACATTTATTTATCTGCTGCACTGTACAATCGACAGCATAAGTTTTTATTTCTATTTTTGCATTTTGAAATGTATAATAAAGTTTGTGATTGTTGCAAAGAACACTTTTTCCTAATAATTTTTTAATACTATTAATTTGTGATACGTAACATATTATTTTTTCTGCCATAATAACTAACTTTTTCTGTACCCCCTAAACAACCTATTACATACCATGGGTTGGGAATCGCTGTTCTAAATTAATTAATAAATATTAATTTAATTTTGCAGTAGAATCTCCTTTTAACAGATCACTTGAATCAAAATTATGATATATTACTTGAGATTTTACATGATATTCCACTGTTAGCCAATAATGATTCTGAAGTTATTTTTAGAAAAATTGTCAGTACGTACATACAGAATTGAAAATTGATAGCAACTCTGATATGGAGTCATTCAATTTATTCATCAACTTTTAATTGTTAGAAATATTTTAATTAAAAAAGAAAATATCATCAATTAATAGTTTTAAATTATATTGACAAAAATAATTTAATTGAAAATTTCTAAATGTTTTTATATTATTGAGAATTCTTTTAATCCTTCCTGTGTCCATTGTTAGTGGGAAACAATCATTCTCAAAATTAGATTAAAAATTATTTACGTTCAACAATAGCACACAAAAGTTTGACATAACTAGCTATATTATTGAATGAACAGAACTTCAATAAATATAAATTTCGACTGCATTAGAAATCAATATACATAATGTTTCACTTTTTAATATACAGTGGTGCCTTGTATAACGTACGCCTCGAATAACAGACGCTGCAAACAACGGACTTTCTGTGTTGGCCGTTACGTGACTCAAGCAATGGACTGGCTGCGAACAACGGACTTTCCGTTCAGCAGTTACGTGAGGCAAACAGTGGACTTTCTGCGAACAAGTGCGAATGATATTTTCACTCACTTCACATTTTGCCGTTGCCAATGACAATCTGCTATTTTTATAATATATTAGTGTTATTAGAATATATTATTAGTATATCTGAAGTACAGAGCTCCCATTGGGATTCAGCTTGCTCCCTTGTTTATTATGTACATCACCTCAGTGCAGGGTATTTACATTTATTCAAGTGTTGTGAAAATCATGGCTTCTAAAAAAACAGAAAAATGATTTCAATTGAAACAATGCAAGAAATCATCAGAAGGAGTGAAAGTTGACAACAACTTCCTTGTCAAATGGGAGAGGTTCAGGAGTTTACCAATGCTCATTATCCAAACAGAGCTGAGCCACCAGGATCAATGATCTCTACAATGACACCCTTGCCCATCATTTCCGACAGGTGTTGAAGAAGAGAGAGAAACAGACCACCTTGGACATGTTTTTCAAGAAGCCAGCAGGCAAAAAACAAAGGATGGAACAAGAGGAGTTGACCCTGCAAGCTCCGGAAGCCTCTCCTGAATCTGACTCAGATTAAAAAAACAATAAAAAGAGACCTGCTGCAATGTGTAAAAAGTGCGTATCTGTATGAATGTGTGAAGAAAGAAAGAATGTGTTCCTCCACCTCCTCCTCACAACATCTGACTACCCAGCATAATTGGTGACTGCTCCATTTTCATTTTTTTAATGGTACAGTATGGTTATTTTATGCTGCGGAACGAATTATATATTTTAACATGTATTTCTATGGGAAAATATGTTTCATATAACGGACTTTTCACTTAACGGACGTGCACCTGGAACGGATTAAGTACGTTATACAAGGCACCACTGTATTCTTTAAAACTGCATTTATTACATATTTGTATTTATATGAAAATAGTTTTCATTTTCTCTGTGTAATAAATAATTGCACATAAAATATAAAAAGCTTTATTTAATCCTATTGTCACATATCTATAAAAAATGTTATTGCCTTTCCTTTGCCCTTACCTTACCAGAAACTGCAAAAAAGAGCAGCACAAACTTGGGTTGTCTCATGCAGCAATTTTTGGCGCACCAGCCTTGGGCCTAGCTGCTGTGTTTTTTTGGATCAGTAGCAGACTTTTTTCTTTGCCTATACTTTAGCCAGCCCACATACACTCTGAACTTATAAAACTCTCTGATCTGACATCTCTGAACTTATAAAACCAACTATTGTATGATTTCCTTACTTGATTTTGGTCATTATGAAAACTTGTTATGGATAGCAGAATTAATATTTTAATTTAACATTAAGTGTTAAATCATTGCCGTTTTAATTTTTAGTAGATTTTGCATATGTACTTCTGGTTTAGTATAATATGTAAATATTAAAGATTAGATTACCATTAAAATCATAAAATTCAAATGTATTTAAAAATGTGTTCTAAATTTAAAATCTTTGTAAGCCTGATGAAAATAACAATATGTTATCAAAAGTACTTATATTATCATTAATTTATTAAATTCTGTAATGCCAAAAGATAATGTATTTTTCTTAGAATAATTACAAGTCAGAGTCAAATGCTCTGAAAAACTTCATTTGATGTATGAAAATAAAACAACAGTAGAGCATCGATTATCTAAATGTCAATCAAAAGAAAGCTTTCCAGTCAGCAAATTTAAATTTCCGCTAGTGCTGTGGCACTGCAATCTTTAGCTATGTCTTGGGCTACTCCAATATTATTTTTGTTGGTGTGTGAGTTTTAGCTGGCAGCAATGTCACGTCCATGAAACTAAGGACGTGCCATGATTTGAACAAATTTCAACATGGGATAGGTTAATATATTTTTTCGTACATAATCGGTTATCCGAAAAAATCGATTTTCTGAACAACCCGAGTCCCCAATTGATTCGGATAATCGATGCTCTACTATATATATTACAGAATTGTAGCAGATTAACCTGGTTTTTAAATACAGCTGTAACTGAAACCATAGCAGGGTTGAGTATATATATTTTTTAACTCAAAGCCATTTAATAACAATTGAAATTAGCATAAAATAATAAAAAATACATTTTGTTTTATAAGAACCCTCATGAGTTATGGTAGCAACCTTTATACAGTGTCAAAAACATTAATTGTTGTGATGTAGCAACTTAGAATGTTTGGTCTGTATTTCTTCAAAAAGAAAGAGGGGCTGTGACAATAAATTCAGCTTGCTACATTCAAAGGCTTCACAACTTAGTTGAACTGAACTTTTGTCAGTGTGATGTTGAATACTAGAATCTGTAGTTTCAACAGGACAAGACAATGTTGTGGCAGAGTTGAAATGAAACATCAGAGATGAAGCAACAGCAATTCCTCTGAAATGTTACAAAAAAGTCATGCACAGTTTTAGGGAAATGATTGTAAGAATGTGTAGACAACAGATGGCCACAATATTCAAAACATGATTATTTATAAATCCTATGTTGAATGCTTTGAGGTTAAATGTGAGTTGATGTTAAATTAATTTAGCATAATTGCATAACTTGCATGTTATTCGAATTTAAAAACCATCAGGTTAATCTGCTGCACCCTGTATATAAACAAGTAATATTCAATGGAAAAATTTGAATTTAAATCTTTATTTTTTTTAATGTGAATTATTCTAAAAATTTTATTAATCCATTTAATACTAACATTTCTACTAGATGCTATAGTGAAGAGTGAAATTCCAGTTGTAATAATGATGACGGAAATATACTTGCTCATCTCATACCTGTGGATAATCAATAATAATTTATTATTTATAAATGAAATTGTTCATACTGTAATAATGTTTAAATAAAATAATTTAATGACAAAATTTTAAATATATGTATACAGTAATACCTCGATTTATACTACCCCGACTTACGCGAACCCGGAGTTACACAATTTTCAAATCTCGTCAATTCGTCTTTTGTTTGAGCGTCATGCAACCCTTGATTACTCACTCCCACCACACTATTGTTCAGCTTACATGTTCGGATGTGTCACACGGAATCGACACATAGCTACAATTTATTTTGTGTTATTTATTTCTGTGTTTGTTGTATCTACAGAGACTTGAGAGACTCTACTATGTCATCCAAATAAAGTAGAACTAATTCTTCTGCATCAAACAAGAAAAGAAAAACTTTATCTTTGGAATGTAAAGTTAACCAAAAATTGAGGTACACTCACTAACTGTAAAGTTAACATTGGGTACATTCATAAAGTCGAACGAGTTAAACAAGAATGACGTCATCGTTATTCCTATTTCGTTAGACTTTTCAAATGATTCGTTACTAACACGTTTAACTCGTTTGACTTTACGAACTTACCCATTATTAAAGACTTCAATACAAAAATGAAAATTTGTGAATTGGCAAAGAAGTGTGATCTAAAGGAATTGATAGTCAGAACAATTATAAAAGGCAAAGAAAAAATTCTCGAAGCTGCGAAAAATGCTCAATCTTTAAATTCAAGCATCATTCGTAAACGTCACGGTATTATCACTGAGATGGAAACAATGTTAAAATTATGGTGTGATAATCAAGTAAATGTGAAAAATTGTAAAATAATATAGGCCTAATTTGTTATAGATATGTATTATCTAAGATTTTATTAAACATTTTTTCTAAATTATTGCTTTCTTTAGTCTCCGGCCCCAATTAAAAATTATTTGTATGTATTTATATGCGAAATTATACTCCGACTTACACGAATTCGACTTAAGCGGTTACTGCTCGGTCCCACCTATCGCGTAAGTTCGGGGTATTACTGTAATTATACAGTAGCCCCCCCTATAAGACAGGTTCCTATAATTACGATTCCTATAAGACGGCGAAAAAATTTCGACGATATCCGTAAAAAACGGTAAAAAAACTCCTATAATTCAGTAAAATGTCATCGGGCAGCCGAACTACTTTCCGCCGTCCAGCACCACGCTACGGAGAGATTACTATCATCTGTACAGTATTATATATATATTATATATAAATTAGGTACTGTACATATAATTATAAATTAATTATATATAAATTAGGTACTGTATATATAATTATATATTAACTTAATTTATTGTAACTTTATTATAATTAAATATATATTTTCCGCCGTCCAGCGCCATGCTACGGAAAGTTAG